CATATTGAAAGTAATAAACATAAACCCAATCATGCAAAGTGCAGCCAATTTTTGTTTTTTATTTTACTGACTTAATTATGGTGCAGCATTCTGAAAGTTGAAAAAGACTGGGAGTGAAGCCCATCTTTATTTTTGAATTACAGTGGGCTACAACACTATGCCTGTCATCAGAAGGTTGGCAATTCAAACCCTGTGGTTGGCAGAGTGATGTGACCATTGGGCGCCTGGGCACGGCTCCCACCTGTTGAGTGCTCCACGAGGGCCTGGCTGACCCTGCATTCTCAAAAAACTGATTATTAAGAATGTGATGTTACTGTTCTGTAGACAATGCAAAACCTCTCCTGCGGGTTATTCAGTAACATTGAGGTGATATTTGCTTTGCACAAAAGGTTCATCTAAGTAACTAAATGTAAGAAACTTTGATTTGAAGGCATGTATTTGTATAAATGGATTAAATCACTTCTGATCTGTATTATTTACAGAGAAAAAAGAAAGAGATAAGATAAGAGGCTCTTCTGGGAATCCAGTCAGATACAGAAAATCAGTCACATATCCAGGCCAATATGGCCAAAGGAAGGATACGCAGGGGCAGATGTACAAAAAACATGCCGTCGCTGGTCTGCAGCTCGCGCACGCTGTGCCCAGTCATTTACGTTGGATGTACATTAAAAACAATAAAATGTTGGACATGCTGAATCAGCGAAAAATCTTTGAAGCGGCTGATCTCACGAAATAATTGAAGTTGCTTCAATGTAGATAATTTATTCATTTAACATGTAAAAAATTGGTTTAGCGATAAACTAAATTCTAAACTAAAAAAATAGTGTGCTTCCTTATCTGTGTGTTATCTGTCATTAAAAGCTGCCTAGCTTGCTTTTATTAAAAGATATTAAGGCCTGACAACTGAATATCAAGCATGAGGCTAACTTCACTGCAGTGACTGAGGAGGAGCCGACAGAGAAGACACACAAACCTCACGCATTCTTTACCGCTTTTCCTTATGTTGTCCGTTATTCAGTAAGATTGATCGTTATCGAAACTCCCTCCTGATTGGCTGCCTCCCCAGAGTAAACACCTCATCAGCTCTACAATGCTCCAATAAGAAAGCTGCAATGGCTCACTTTCTGAGATTTGTTAAATGCAATATCTTTGCTGGGAACAAAGGGGTGTTTACTCTTGGGGGCTGGATAAGCGAAAGAAGGGGGGAGCAGGTTTGTATAA